ATAAGGCTTTATTCTCCAAGTTCTGAAATATGTATTTTTTTAATTTTTTTATTTTTTGTTTTTATGAGAGAGGGTCTTGCTCTGTTACCCGGGCTAGAGTGTAGTGGCATCATTATAGCCCACTGCAAGCTCAAACTCCTGGGCCCATGCAATTCTCCCGCTTCAATATCCTGAGTAACTGGGACTACAGGTGAAATATGTATATTTTTTAAAGTAGCAGAATATATTTACTCTAAGTTTAAGATCGGGAAAGAAGTGGCAGTTTATAGTGTTATTATTTTTCAATGTATAGGCAAAAAGAAAAAAAAAATACTACAAAAAGCTGGGGGAGGACAGCCATACTGGCCATACTGAGCTCTGAGTTGAGTGCTCAGATGAATGAAAATGTTGGTTTCATTCTACGAGAAGCAGTATGGCATGGAAAAAAGATGGGATTTGAACAGTCAGACAAATTAGATATAAACACTGCTCCAGACCTTAGGTAAGAAACATAACTTCTGATTGGCTTGTCTTTCTGTCTCCATTAGAAAATGAAGATAATAAAATTAGTCATCCAGACTATAACGAGCGCTGGCATTAGTGAGTGTAGATACTCAGCCCACGGCAGCATCTATCAGCATTTGGCCAGGAAAGTTCAGCAATATGCAAGCAGATACATTAAGTGGAGGAAAAGAAGATTAATTTATTACTAAATCATCCAGTGCTAAGCTATGTGAACATCTGGGTGTTTATAAACCTATTGCACTATTGAAAGAAGGTATTTCTTGTACTTGTCATTTTGAGAAACAATATTATCCCCACTTCCCACTGCAGTTGAAGAATATGACCACATTATCTCTCTGGAGTGAAACCAAGTAGGGACTTTTCTCTTGACATTTTCTTCAACTTCATAAAATGTTTCTGCATACCTGTAATGCATCAAGTTAAGCATCAACAGTAGAATAACTAGTAAAATTAGTGCTAGATCCTGAGGGACTCGCTATTATGGATGAACTCAAACTAAACATGAAGAATTGGGTTTAGGACTTTGCAAACTCATATTAAGTTTAAAAAGTATGTGAAAACACTGAGATCTTAACAATTATGATATTGAATTGACTTTACAGGTTATGACCAGAAACAGCACTTGTATAGAGTCCAGTGGAATTTTTAAAGTAGTCCTCTGTATTTATCAAAAACGTCCTTACTCTGCGTAAGTATCTCCAATCCAGAAGATCTGAGAGCCTCTCAGTTCGGTTCCTCTGGATAATTCTTTGGCGGCGTGACTGTTTGCAAAATCCGTAGAGAAACTTAGTCAGCTGATTGCAAGAATCATCAGGAGAACGGAACCGCCTGTCAACAATGTAAATACCTGAAGAGCACAAAAGCCAGAGCACAGGTAAAAGTAGGGCTAATCTCAAACATTTCTTCTATTCTTTATTGTCTCTTTGATTCCACCAAAAACCATTCACATCATCCACTCCCTAAGTCAGCTATTGCCTCCACTTTAGCTTTTCCCTTCTAAAGTTTTATTTCTTCTTTGACTTTCTAACAGTTCACAACCATCAGCAACACACAGCCAACAAAGTGGATCTT